AGGTGCATGGACAAAGGACAGGAGGAGCAGTGCAGAGCTGACTAGAAGAACTGGAGACAGCTGTAAAATCCCCTTAGGTTGTATACACAGCCAGGGACAATAACCATGGAAGGTGGACAGTCCCCTCCAGAGGGGAAGTGCTGTAGAGACACCAGCGGGTGAGGTGCTGCTCCTGGGGTTCAACAGGGTTTCCTTCTGTCCAAGCTTTGGGGGACATTTGTGTTTGGGACTGTAGCCCAGTGGCCTCTTGCCTGCACCAGGCTGATGTGCACAAAGCACTCATTCCTCCCTCTGGACAGCGTCTTTGTTCTGGTCCATATGCAGTCCACACTCTTGGAAGGACCTTGGTTTTGTAGTAGGCTCAGCTATGCAGAGAAGCAAGGACCTGAGGGTGCTGGGTGTCGGTCCTTCCCTCGCTGCCCATTTTGGGCTTTTCCGAGTGAGTACAGATCCCAGAGACAGTGTCTTGGTTTGTGGCCAGGCCTATCTCTTGGCCCTCTGGGTCAGGGACTGTGGGAAGGCATTCATGTGCTGAAGGCCTTAGTTAGAATTAGTCCCAAGGGAAAAAAAGCCAGTTCAGATGTGGCAAGGGGGGAGGTCAGTTTTTCCTCCCACACTCATCTGGAGCGCCTTCTAAAGAAACCTGCTGGCCTCACGTTTAACCCCCTGAATTACTGACTGCAATCTTAATGAGCCCGTTGCTAATGGGAGTGCGTCATCAACCATGGGTTGGCTGGCATGGAAAAGAAGATGAGAGGCTCTGCTTTGGAGTAATCAAACTTTCACCCTTCTTCTACAACCCCCCCAACACATACCCAGCTTTATTGAGAGTTGCCTGGCCTGCTGCGGGCAGGTTAACCTGCTCTGACAGGATCTCCACGCCTAGGGTGTAATTTTTGGCTTCAGCCCTACTGTGGTAGTTGGATAATGAAGCCTCTATGTCTTTAACCTTAGTTTCTGCCAACCTTGAACCCCGATGAATAAACAGCCACCGGTCATAAAAAAAAAAAATTAGTGTGTGAGGCTTGAGTCTGCAGAAATATATACTCCAAGCAGACAGGTTTTAGTGGAGACAAATGCAACCTCTTCCATGCCAGCCCAAAAAAACAATTGTATATCTACAGAGCAAGACATTAAATATAATGAGCAACTCTATGAGCTGGGCTGAAAGACTTAACTCAGGAACATGAGTGTTTGAAGTTGTGCACTTAGATGAACAGCATCGTCTAGAAGGATCAAGGAAGGAGACTCATTTCCCTGTGGTCTATGCTTTGTTCAGTCTAGGGCACACACCACAGGCTGTCCAAGAGAGATCACGACTGCCTTATGAAGAATTGTTGGCAAAGACTGTTTAGACTGTAGAAAGGAGGACTGGGACTGGGGAGATGTCTGTATTGAATGTCTTCAGGTCTTTCAGGAAGTCTCTTTTTCTAGTAGAAACTGAACATGGGATGGGGCCACAGCTTAGAACTGGGATCAAGAAGTAGGAAGGAAAGGGAGGAAGACTTGGACTTAAAACCATAAAGAGGATTCTGACAGAGATACCTAAAAACAAGAGAAGGACCACATGTGTGATGTCTGTGGTACAGTGGTTATGACATCATTTGAGACATCTCCATCCCATATTAGAGTCCTAGCTACCACTTCTCACCCAGCATCCCACGAATTCACACCCTAGAGGATGACAGGTGATGGCTCAGGTGCTTGGGACCCTGCCACCCCCAAAGGAGACCTAAATAGAGTTTCTGTCTCCTGGCTTCTGCATGGTCTAGCCCTCGTTGTTGTGGGCAAATAACCCAGCAGATAGAAGATCTGTTTGTGTCTTTCTGCCTTTCAAATAAAGTGAAAATTAAAATTACAAAAATAAGTAAAACAATAAAGAAAAGTAAAAGGGAGCTGTCTGTTGGTGCAGGTAATAAATTGTGCATTGCCAGATGTATTTAAGCAGTAGGAAAGTAACCTCTTAGAACATCAGGCTCCCTGGAGACAGTGTGAAAAAGAGGATACTACTTGGCTGTTTAAAAAAATGAATATAATACTTTGTGGCCAAATGGGCCAAACTAGAGACCATTATGCTAAGTGAAATGAGCCAATCCCAAAAGGTCAGATAACATATGTTTGTTGGAATACAGGATAATATGATGTCAAAGCTAGGAATATTACATGTGAATTTTACCTTATGTCACTTCATACTTACCTGTACCTTTCATAATAAGAACTTGTGATGTAACTCATTAATCAACCATTCATAAAAGACTGATTGTTTATATCTACCTAAGATGGTCAATGTCCCTTTTATCGCTTACTGGTACTGTGGTACTATAAATAAATAACAAAGATCTAAAAAAGAAAAAAGAAAAAAGAAAAAAGAAAAAAGAGATTCTTAGAGTCACTTTCAGCAGCTCTTGGAAGAGCTTTGTGTGGGTGTTGGGTGTTGTGTGCACCAGTGGATGCCCATGAAGCTGGAGGGATGGAATTAACCCTTCTTGGACCTTGGGAAAGAAGGTGTGATTAGCCATGGACCAGCAGGGTCAGTTGGGTTCATGTATATTACTGTGGGCTCACACCATTAAACCTTATTGTCTGGGCCTCACAAAGGAAAAGAATGGACTTTGTAAAGCCACATCTGGATTTTGAAGTTAAACTGAAGTTATCTTCCAGCACAATTAAACAGGATATGTCAAAATTAAAACCATTGTTAAAATTAATCGAAGACTTAGAAAGGTAGAATGAACTTCAGAGCTGGAAATTGCTGATTTAAACAATTGTTCTCACATTTTAAACCACATAATGAGCTAAAAATTATGAAGCCTCAGAGTATAGCTGTAAAGAGTAGTCTAAAACCAAAGTCAGAATGAAATGTTTTAGCTTTCAAAACTAAAAAGCAGAACAATTACTCCCTACAAAATGGTATAGGAAGAGGTTTCTGACCCCTGCTAATTGTTTTATTATTCTTCAGAAGGGCATACTGGCAGCATTCCCCAGGGTTTTCGGTAATTACACTCCATTCAATATCTGAAGAATTACAATAATTCTACATGGAATATACCGGTGCCCTTTGGATGCAAAGCCTTTAGAGAGTGAAAAAACAACTTCAAGTAAATTAGCAGGAAAATTATCATAGTTACTGTTTATTTCAGGGCTCCATATATCAGAGGCTAATTATACATTGTATGCTACATTTTTCTTGGAGGTACTTGTAATATTTTTCTCATGCTGTTTAGGATCCTTTATGAAAGTGAAGTTCGAACTTTTTCAACTGCCTCTTTGTGTATGAGACATTATCGCAGACGTACACATGTTACTTTGCACTGGCCAGAGTCCTGATTTTGGTGAAGGATTACACTGCTCACACGTATACATTTGTTAGGCCTTGATTCTGTGATTGTGTGTTACGCTACCAACACCTTCTCAAAAGTATCCCCTCTTAGTGTTTGGCAAACCGAGGATCCATGAAAGGAGAGAGCAAGGACTGGAATGGCATGGCCACCCGAGGCTGGGAAGATGAGGGAAAACCTTGTCAATCTTCCGCTTAGGGGTGGGATTCATCTATTATCTCGGCAGGAGCCCCTTGAGAACCTAAGCAGCAAAAATACCCTGAGAAGTCCACCTTGCCTAGAGGCCCTGGCAACTGTTAACACAGCAGGGGCAAGAACTGAGCCCCCTGGCTAATGAATGAGCCTTAGATTCCAACAGTATTTTTCCTTAGGAGTTAGGAGGCTCCATTTTCCATCCTTCACTTTTTTCTCTTTTCCTTTCTTTTGAATTGAGTGCAGCACAAAAGAGTCTCTGTTAAATCTTTATTATCTCCCCAAATGAACAAAGGTCAAGCAAATTGTATCTGTCCCCTTTGATCTAATACATGCTCCTTTTAAAAATGTTTCCTATAGCCTAGCAGTTAAGATAGCAGCTGGTTAAGGTGCTTGCAGCCCACGTGGGAGTCCTTGGGTTCCTGACCCAGCCCTGGCTCCTAAATCCAGCTTCCCGCTAACAGACACTCAGGAAGCAGCAATAATGCCTCCAGTAATTGGGTTCCTGCATGAGTAACCCGGAGTAGTGTGCACCTGTGGTTCCTGGCTTTGGCAGCTTTGCCCCAACAGTGGATGGGAGTTTTCTTTCTCACTTGCTCTCTCTGCTTCTCAAGTAAATTTTTAAAATGACTTAAGATGGAAACGGTTTAGAAAATAGTCATAATGCATTGTGGAAAAAACGTACTCAAATATATGTGTATACAATGACATTTTAAAAATATGTTTTCATGAGTATATATATTTTCTAAAAATTAGAAGAAAAATGTATAAACAGGCATAGTTACTCATACACATAACGAAGCAACGTTCAAAGTGATTTTTAACTTTGTTAATATTGTCTGATTTCCTAAAGCATGCATGTTTTCTTATTATCAGAAAGGAAGAAGAGGGGAAGGAGGGAAGAAAGAAAGGAAATCAGGCAATCACACATTTTTTTGCTGGAAGATTAGAGAAATCAGTAAGACACAGTATGTAGGCAAAATGTATAGACAGAACGTTTTGACTTACTAGTTGCTTAATATCACCTGCTTCATCATTGCTAAGACCTCTTATTTACTTGCTGTGAGGAACTTGATAAGACAGTCCTCTTTTACACATAGGATAATTTTAAATTCCCTTAAAACTTTACCATGACCTCTAAGAGGCACAGTGAAAACCATTCCAATCATTAGAGCACAGTCTCGAGAACAGTCAGTGCTTTCTACATCCTGCAGAACAAGCCAACAGGTCAACTACAGTTGAGCCACTAGTAACCTCAACCTGACATCACCTTGTCCCTGTGAGTGTGGGTCACCCTTCAAAGTCACCAACCAGATTGTCCATCAGCCATCGCCTTTTGAAAGCTGCTCGTGTAGAACAAGCTGTTCTCATGGCACAAGGATTATTGAAATAAAGAATGACTTCTTTTCCTCCTTGGCTTATACTGAGCTGACTTGCCTCTCTGCTTTTCTTTTTCTTGATTCCTTGTAGCGTATGATTGCAAACACTGCCAGGACCGTGAGGTACTACAGGAGCCAACCATTCAGTAAGTTGAATCCTGCTGCATGCTGCGATGGAGATCTTGGGGACAGAGTCCTTTGTAACAAGGTTTGAAAAGCATTTGGCAGTGTTAGGCACACTCTGGGTCTTGAATTCCATGTGGTAGGGGCCTTGAGTTTAAACATCCTTTTTATGCTGTTGTAAACCTAAAAAGAATAACCATCGGAATATTGTGCCGTGAATGAATTTGAAGAGAATTGACTCGCGGCAGTGTGGTTAGAGATAAGTAGGGCATGATGGCCCACAAACCCTCCCTCAGACCAACTCTCTGCATGACTCATTGCTTGATGTTGAGAAACTCACATCAGCCCTTGATGAGTCAGGTCTGTCGTTTATAAACTGGGAAAGATAATATTTACTGTCTCTCAGACTATTGCGAGAATGCGTTATGTGCTCGGCATGTTGGCAAAGGGCCACGGAGCAGGTTTCATATGATAGTTCTCATATATCCAGGTGGATGGGAAGTGTTCCTTTACAGTCTGATCAGTTAGCCCAAGAACTAACATAATATAATGCTTTCATATAAAAATAGTTCTGATAATTAACAGTTTCAATCTGCTGGGAGTGAAGTTGCATCATAGCACCAGATAGGCATGCTAGAGCAGCGCTGCTGTCTCCAGGCTGGGACTTTGTGTTGGAGGTGGAGCTTTGGCTCTCTCAATCTGGTATGAAAGTGAGGAGGTGAACCCTATAAGGACTTTAATGTCATTGTCTGAGTCACTTGAAATGTCACTCATAAACCCGACACAATAGGATGACACGGGCATGACTGTAAGACTACCAATACCATCCTCTCCAAAGAAACTCAACACTACGAAACTAAAAGGTTATTGCTTTAGTCATTAGAGCTCTTTCTTGCACAGGACTAGCCCGAACCCTGGCTCACATGGGATGCCAGCATTGCTAAATGTTCATTGGTTAATGGACAGAGTGAAGAAACTTAGGGAAAATAATCTTGATTTAGGAGATGAGTTGACATTTTTAAAAAATAGTAAAAATGATTCTGCATTCTCTGACTCAGGAGAATGGTCTTGCATGTCTTCAACCTTTCTTAGGTAGAGTCTGCCTTCTTTTCATCTGGTGATTTGCTGTATGTTTAAAGACATGATCCTTAAATCACTGTACAGATGGAGATGAGAACAGAGCAGTAATATCAGTTGCTACAGGGATTTATAAGCTAAAGTCCTTTGCCCTTCATGCAGACTCAGAAAAATTTCTGGTGTTATTTGCAACATCCTGAGTGTGTAAGAGGGCTCATAACATGGAGAGGTTTCCCAGAGAGTTCTGAGAACTGGAGATGGTCAACAGTTTTGAGCCCATGGCCTGCCTCTTTGGAAGCAAGCCCTACATTCTCCCACATCCTCTAGAGAAGTAGAAAGAAAAGTTTTTTTTAAGCCTTCACTGCATTTGTTGAAGTTATCAGTAGCTGCTGGTAAACAACAGCTGCTCAGTTCTGAAGTCAACAATCTATAGATAAAGCTATAGGAATAGATTCATAAACATTGCGGGAATGTGTACAATGTAATTGCAGTATATTCGACATGTGGAGTGCAGTGTCAGTGGGAAGCAGAGGAAATTAAGCACAATGTGTTCTGCTGCTCATTCTGGTGTTATTTATCTGTAATCATTACCCTAATGAGTCTCTTCTAATGGCGAGAAGGGGTCTTTGTATCTTCCCCCTGCTTGGCTGTGTTCAGACCTGCAATACCCCCCTTTACCCCTCCTGCAGATGGTGGCCTCCTTGTCTGTAGGAGTGGGAGGAGCTTCTAACGGGCACAAACACACTACAGATATCTCAGTGCTAATGCAGAGGACTCCGACTGGGAATCCAGACTGCATCGGGGCCCTCCTCTGTGTCCAAGTAGAGATCCATGGATGGAGGTAGCCCACAGACCATGGAAGGAATATTGGCTCCAAACAGAGCCCTGCTCCCTTTTATTTTGCTTGCTATCACCATTTAATAGTTGAAAGACTCCACAGGGAAGAATCTAGAGTTCCCATCTCTAACAAAATTAGGAAGCTCTACCAATTCTTGTTTGTGGAGTGCCAGAAGGCAAAAACAAGTAGAAAAAATAAGCAGATAGTCACATCCCAGAGGACCTGTGCTTATAGTTCATTGCTACCACATTGGTCCTTTCTCATCTAAATGTTCAAGTGGTACCAGACTGTGGGTGTAGGGTTCTTTTTGTAGCCATGCTTTTAGTGGCATCAGTTAGCCTCTGTGACAGCTCAGTTGCTCACGTACCTAGGGTCTGGATCAGACCTGGCAACTATCTAGATATTCAGGAATTCTGCAAATTGCAGATCTAACAGAAGTTGAACCAACAGTCCATGAGTTGGGGTTTGTTTCTGAGTATGGGCAGGCTTGAACCTCCCAGGTATCCAGTATTGCGTGGTGCTTGTGTGTGTGTGTGTGTGTGTATACATGTGTGCAAGGAAAGAGGACAAGACCTTACCATTCCGTGACTTGCCCAGGTGTGGAGTTTTGCAAAGAATTAATGAAAACTACTTTTTTTTTTTTTACATTATTCTGCCTCTGGATCAAAGGAGCAGGGATGGTAAGAGAGAAAATGTTCATCTATAACCAGAGGCCATTCAACAGATGCTCTCTTTTTTTCATTTGGTGCCCCCATACACACACACACACTTTTTTTTTTCATTTTACAATATGCAGTACAAAAGAAAATGATCAAAAGAGGCAATTCCAGGGAAAAAAGAAAATTGAAGGGTAAGAGGGAGGAAATGGAACAACCAAGTGGGAACATTTCAATGAATGAGGCCTGTTAAAAGCTCTTGATAGAACCCAGGAATCTATGATAAATGTAATAAAGCTGTGTTTTATATACATTTATTATGCAACGCCAATCCTCCCTTCTCTACTTTTCTTCAGATCCCGATGCAGCCCAAGCTAATAAGAACCATCAGGATGTCCGGAGCTATGTGCGACAATTAAATGTGATTGACAACCAGAGAACTTTATCGCAGATGTCACACAGATTAGAGCCTCGCAGACCATAGACATCTCACAAGCCTAGCGCAACGATCCACCTCCGGTCCACGATCTTTCCAAAATGACCGTGATTGCCACTGAGAGTGCTACTGAGTGAGTGAAAATGTGTCCTGATGTGTCTCGAGACTGTATTCTGCTTAGCACCTGTGGGACGAGAGAAGGGATCTGACTTTTCTGAAGCTCACACTCTGGTCTAGGAACCCTCCCCTGTGCAGTCGCCCTCGTTCGTTTCCAGTTGTGCCATCATCTTTGCTGAAAGAGGAAGGTGCCCGTGGAAGAAGGTGTGTAGGAGCAACATTGTCAAGAGAGCCATCAGCTCCTGGCATTCTTCCTGAGAATCTTTACACGGATGGATTTGGATACATCGCTGGAGGTACCATCTGTAGTTTTGACCTCAATGTTTTGGTTTGAAATATGGGATTTGGAGAAGGTGTGGAGAACTCTGTAAGAAAACCAAACTGTAGGTTACATTGTTCCAGCTTCACAGTCTGCTTCTCTCTGAAGGAATAGAGCCCGGCCACATTACTATAAAACACTACGGTTATTTATGTAATGTAGGGAGGACTGCTCTGTAATTCCTCAATGATATGTAGAAAAGTATTTGTGTTTACAAGGTTACTTTGTAAAATTTACAAGTCAGAATTCTATATGTAAGAATTTCACAAAGAAATGCCAAGGTTCTTCAAATTGCCAGCATGAAGGAAGAAAATAACATTTCAGAAGAGCACAATATGCACAAAACCTTTTTCAAAGTTGAAATATTTTCCAGGCATTAAAAAACCTTTCAGCTACAAATTTCCTGCTACTGAAGAAAAATGAAAAAAAAAATATTTTCTGGACCTAAATGTTATAAATATCTTAATTTTCAACAATTGTTTTGCACTTTCAAATAGATTGTAAATACTTCATTCAATCAACAGTATAGAGTTATTTATTTGCTACCTAATAGAAATTGTGCCAAATAATTACTTTTTATTTATTTTACTCATTTTATAATTTTGGAGTACATTTTTTTTCCTGTTTTCACAAATAGAACTACATTTAATGTGTAGGAATTGTATGTATGTATATCTTCTGTAAATAACATCTGGTATCTTCATTAAATATAATTATTGACAAGAAGTGGTTTGTGATGTTTTTAATTCATGAAGTATGGGAGAGTCTTGGATTTTTCAAAAAGTGAACTAAAATTCAACCACCTACCTTTTTAGAGTGCACAGTGGTTTTTGGTCTCTTGGGGGTTAAATGTCCATCCTCACTCCAGGATACTCTCCTGACTCCTAGAGGAAACACTGCAGGCATAGGCAGGGACTCCCTGCTGTCCTCTTCTCCTAGCACCTGGCCATCACTGCCCTGCTGTCTGTCTCAGTGGATGTACTCTGGGCACTTTACGGGGATGGAATCGCTCAGTATGAAACCCATTGCGCCTGCTTTCTTTAAGTTAATGCAGTGGTCTTCAAGTTTATCTCTGCAATAGCTTCCATTTGTGCTCATTTCTTTTTGTGGCTGAGTAGTATTCTACTGTGTGGATAATAGTATGTTTTGCTTATCCCTCCATCAGTTGAGGGAGGAATGGGGAGGTACTTGTTTCCCCCCCTCCACTTTTTTTTTTTTTGTGGCATTTGCTTGGTATTGGGCCTCATGCCATTTTTCGATGGGTTTAGCACATGGGAAATATCTGATGAAGATATTTCCAGAATCCTTTAAATTCTATAAGTGTCAGTATTTTTAAATGTCAACATTTTCTAAAGGCTGTTCTAGGCTTTAATTGTCTCCGACTTTATTTGCTACTCCTTCAAAAGAGAAACACACAACTGGAAACCAAGAAATAGGAAAACCAAGAGGATATCTTCAAGTAAGTTTGACTTAATGCATTCCATGCTTGGACATGACTCCCAGCATCCAGGAACCTACCAAAGGCTCTGTGGAAATTCCCTCAAGTGCCCCACAATGAATGCCCACTTTGAAAAAACACTAACACAGCAAAAGCCTTTCTGAGTCCTTTTATCTGGTATCTCAAGGTTTTTAGTAGCAGGAGTGTTAGCTTTTCCCCCCCCACCATATTATGCCTCCCACCCACAGATAACTGCAATCCTTGGAGTGTGTTAGATAATAAATACCACTGCACAGATGTTCTTGACGTCACCGAAGTCCACCAAGTCACTGTCTCATAGACCTTAATACAAACTTTTCAGCATGATGGATTTTTTTCCTTTTCTAAATAATAAACAGGTGTCTTGCTTGGCCACCCTTGCTGCTGTTTTATCCTTTATTTCTACCTTGCTTCAAAGCTGTCACCTTCTGTGTGGCAATACCTTTCCCCAACTCCATAGTGACTTACACTGTGTGGCTGCATTTTAATTTGGTTTTCCCATTATACAAAAGTAATAACATATTCTCTCCTATATTCTCACACATATTCTGAGTGAGAATAACCATTACTGTACTTCGTAAAGATAAGAGATCTTAATTATGTCTGGCCTCTGTGAAAATGCATTGAATCCCTTTATTCAGGGTTGTGATGGTGAAGTAGCAGCATTCGTGCTCTGAAAATGTAAAGTGGGAGCTAAGCATCTCCTCCAAAGGTGGGAGATGCAGTTAATATTGTAAAACTTGCCAACAAGCCAACAGAAAATGAGATGCCCACAGGGTCACAAGAAGGATAATGAGGTTTGCTGGAAGATGTAAAAAAGGAGAAAGAATGTTTTTACCAAAAGCGCTTGCAGAAAATTATACATTTAAGTGTTTAACATAACTACTTAGCAAGGTCACTGGCATAGTGTATGAGAGTTAAGCTTTTCCTGCAATGTTTGAATGCCATGCAGGTTAAATATACTTCTGCTGAATTGAGTGGCATTGCCTCTTAAGATGTGAAGGCAGATCAATGACTAGCACTGTGAGGAAATTAAAAGAAGTATCATTCTACTTTTAAATTGTGCTTCTAATGAAAAAAAAAATGAACATAGAATATGTGCTGTGATCAAATGAGCCCCTACCTTAAATAGCTTTCTTTCTGGTGCCAATCTAAAATGTATTACCTCTCTTGCTTCAGAATAATCTTAATTTGTCCTACATTGAAAACCATGGCTTTAGACAAGCAGTTCTCAGCATTTCTTTCTAATCTGCTAGAGAAAAACCTTTACATTAGCAAATTTTTCTGTTCATGCACTCATTCATTCTTCCAATAGCAAATGGTAAAATGAGGTCTTCTATGCCAGCCAGGCCCTGTATGCACTCAGGATTCCATTGTGAGAAAAACTGGAAAACATCACTACTCAGGAATTCATCCAGTGGGAAAGAAAGATGAGTAGCTAAGTAATATAATACAAATAAGTAAACATAGAATGATGTGACATTGCAGGATGTGTGTAGGATGTCTGTAGAAGCTTTTTGTTACTGTAACAAATGCCTAAGAGAAACCACTTAATGAGGAAGATCTACTTTGCTTCATGATTTTGAAGGTTCTAGCAGCCCAAGTCCAACCAGCCTCCTTGATCTTGTGTGTGATGAGGGCAGTGAATGAGGGAAGGCATGCAGTGGATGGATTAGCCCTGTTTAAATGGTCTCTCCTTGCAAAGCACCATGACTGGATCATGCACTCCACCCCAGCAACCAAACCAGTCTAATCACTTCTCAAAGCTTCAGCCTCAGACTGGATAATTAGATTGTTTCCATTCTTTATCATTTGCATTAAGCCATTAGCATAAGACGTTGGAGACCCCCAAATGGATACAGACACTCTAGCAATGTAATAAGAATGTAACTTGATCTAAAGTTATGAAATGCTTCCTGAGGAAGTGACAGTTGAGCTGAGCTCCAAAGGATGTGAATGCTGACCAAGCAGGGGAGAATACAAAATAAAGAAGAAATAATGTGGGCAGCAAAGGGTAAGAAACTCACTGTGACTGACAGAGCACTATGGAGAACTAAGAAAGCATCAGAGCTCCTGAATGTGGTTCAGCTGTTACCAAGAACACTGTCGATGCTAAAACTGACACTGAGATTATAAACCATTGAAGTGTTTGGAAACTTTTGTTTATTTCAAGGAGAGAGGGAGAATCCTCCCATCCACTGGCTCACTCCTCAAATGCCCAGGAGCCAGGAACACAATCTAGGACTCTCACATGAGTGGCAAGAATCCAGCCACCTGAGCCATCACCTGCTATCTCCTAGGATGCTCGTGAACAGGATGCTGGAATGGAAAGTGGAGCTGGAATGGGATGCAGGCATCTTAACTGCTGCACCAAACAACTGCCCCAGGGAGTTGCCCTGCTGGTGAAACCTTGGAGGAGAAGCTGCTGCTTCATGTACACCACACTGCTTACGACACCTGGTGAGTATCACAACTCATGAGTGATTTTATTACGTGGGTTTGAAGGTAGGATGGAGGGAGTGGTGAGTGATGGAAAACCTGAAAAAGCTGTGGCAGGCCCAGTGCTCACACAATGCCACTCCTCTTGACTAACGGCACACAGGACTGCTATTAACTTTAACTGTAATGTAAAATTGTCCATCTTAACTCTTCCGGAGAGAACAGTTCAGTAGCATTGAATATATTCAGGTCATGTGTTTCCATCACCCCCATCACTCTCCAGGAATTTTTGCAATATCCCAAACTAAAATGCTGTATCCACTAAATACTAACTCCCTGTTTCCCCGTTCATTCAGCCCTCTACAACCCCTCTTCTAGTTCTGTCTCCATGAACTTGCCTATTTGGGGTATCTCACATAAATGGAATCATACAGTACTCATATTTGTTCTTTTGTGTCTGGGTGGTTTTGTTGAGCATAATGGCTTTAAAGTCCTTCTGTGTAATAGTGTGTTCTAGGAATTCCTTCCTTATTAAGGTTATGTAAGGCTTTATATGTTAAATTTTGTTTAGGCATTCATCAACCAATGGTATTCGATTTGCTTCCACTTTTCGATCATGGTGAATGAATAATTTATATACATGAGTGTACTAGTATCTGCGCAAGGTCCAGCTTTTTGGTTCCTATCTGGAAGTAGTGTTACTGAATCATACGGTAATTCCATGTTAACTTTTGTGAGGAACAAGTATACTGTCTTTCACTATGTTTGCACTGTTCTAATGAGCTACACTTAATATAGCCAGTGATTACCTGTGTAATCTTGGAGACTCAAGCTGCCAGTGTATTACATGGCTGCTGGGAAAAGTTATGGCCAGGAAACCCAGTAGCAAGTATGTGGAGGTCCAAGCTGCTAGTGTGCCCTTTGTCAAGCCATGCCTACCCAGAGGATGATCACAGTCCCAGAACCTTGGTCCAGTTTTGTTGCCCTGTGGGTTGATCTATCAGATGCCTGTTGCCTATAATGTGACACTGCTGGAGAGAGGGGGGGGGGAGATATTACTAACTCTGACAAGGTAAGAGGATGGGAAAAATGCTTGCTTTGCTTGAACTCCTTTGTGTATACTTGTTACAGTTTGAGAATGTCAAGGATATGGCTCCTGGTGCAATTTACATTTAAAACAATTGGGGCCACAACCCAGCTATGAATGGAAGTAAAATAGGCTTTGTAGGCTCACAGGCCCTGGTATTCCTCTCCAGAGTAGAGAAGAAAGAAAGCCTCTCACCAGGACATGTGATACCTACCCAATTCCCCCTTGGCTCCTGCGTGTTTTATGGGAAGATTCAGGCTGCTAATAGATAAGTGAGAGCCAAACAATTATATAATAAGGCAATCAACATAACAGAAAAACGAGGGCAAAACTGGCCTATGATTCTTCAGAACAGCTTTTGCAGCACCTGAGACGGAACGGGTCTGGAAGACCCTCAAAGATCTCCAGCCATCAGCCATGTCTTGGCTGGAGGCACCTGGCAAAAATCACCTGGCTGATAACATCATGGTTCTTAGAGGAATGGAGGAAAATCAATAGTTTAAGGCAGGATATTTTGGGGCAAAGGGACAGACCGATGGTTTCATCTCCACCAAGGAAGAAGAGATCAAGGTAAGGCAGCTCTGCAGCTCTGTGGGGGCATAGGAGCCATACTCGCCAAGCTGCAATGGCTTTGGGAGGGTAGAGAGAGGTTGTTCAGGGGAAAGACCAAGCCTTGTTGACAAGACCAGGAGTTGCTGTGTGCATTCGTCAGGGTTCTGT